AAGCAGGGATTTTTAGTTCACATATATTACAATAAATGTTTTAATTGATTGTAAAGGCACATTTTTAATCTTTTAAAAAATAACAAACGTGTTATACTTCTCTGCTCTGTGTAATGGTTTTTCAGTCCAGATCTTCCTCTCCTCAGGTCCCCTGCCAGTGCCCGTCCCCCTTGCTGAGTGCCCCAATAGCAGACCCACCCCCTCTCCCTCCTCACTGGCTGTGATTGACAGCAACAGGAGCTGTATCTAAGCCATTGAGGAGAGAGAGAGAGCTGAGATAGCCTCTGCTCCCGTGCACAGATCACTGGATCGAGAGCGGACTCAGGTATTTAGGGGCCTGGGGGGAGCTGTTTCCAGAAGGTTTTTTACCTTAATGCATAGAATGCATTAAGGTAAAAAAACCTTCTGCCTTTAGAACCTTTTTGAATTTGAAGGGGACCCAATTAGGGGGGCCCAGATATCGCCCCCTATGTGAATAAGTCAGGGGTAAATAGTACAAAAAAAAGTCAAGTAAAAAAAATTCCTTGATCAAAAACATTTTTTTAAATGTTCCCTAATGTATATCCGCCGTTAATCATGTTATCCAACGATGCTGGTCCATGTCAATAACAATTAACCTTGACTTTCCACCTGCAAGAAGGACAAAAAACACTTCCCACCGAAACCCAACCAATCCTGTTGCTTTCCTCACACCAAATGAAATCTCCGGTTATCCCCACTGTGGAATAAACAAAGGGGTGAGGTCACCCAATGATGTAATTTACCAAATATGGACATATCTAAATTTGGTCAATGACGTCACTCACATCATCCAGCGATGCAGGTTCACGTCAGTCACAATGAATAATGGCCTCCGACCCGTGTGAAAGAAAAAAGCCCTCCGAGACTGGACTGATTTCGATGCTTTGTTCTCGCCAAATGACATCTCCAGTCCCCCTCTGCCGCTGAAGTAAACAAAGGGGTGGAGTCACCTGGTGACATCATTGACCAAATATGGATATATGGCCTGGTATGGTTCAGGAGGGGGGAGTACAAGCTCCTCACAGTACAGTGCAGTACAGCCCCCTTGTCCCCTCTCTTCATATACTGAAAACATTGGATGAACCCTCTACACACTGCTATACACCCTCTCTAGCAAACTTTGCATAAAAAGAGGGATTTTTAGTTCACATGCGATGCAATACATGTTTAAGCTGGCCAACTACGTCAAAGTAATCCCTCTCTGGCCAGTCCCTTCTCTACTCTACAAAGTGCAAATGTCCCAGTGGATATAGTGCCAATATGTGGCAAATAGACACAAGTTGTAGGAGAGCTAGGTTCAGGTCTGGTTATTGACCTGCAATTCAAAATAAATAAGATACAGGTGAAACTCAAAAAAATTAGAATATCGTGCAAAAGTTCAGTTGTGCAGAAAACCATCATTGACACCCTCCATAAGGAGGGAAAGCCTCAAAAGGTAATTGCAAAAGAAGTTGGATGTTCCCAAAGTGCTGTATCAAAGCACATTAATTGAAAATTATGTGGAAGGGAAAAGTGTGGAAGAAAAAGGTGCACAAGCAGCAGGGGTGACCGCAGCTTGGAGAGGATTGTCAGGAAAAGGCCATTTAAAAGTGTCAGGTCAGCAGTCTTTCCCATGATTGTGATTCCTACTGAACCAGACTGAAAGACCATGTAAAGGCTCAGGATCCCTTTGCAGGTGTTATGGCTGAATGAGCTGATTAGAGTGGGGCACTTTCAGCCGAGAATATTCCACCTTTTCACAATATTCTCATTTTCTGAGATTATGGATTTGGGGTTTTCATGAGCTGTAAGCCATAATCATCACAATGATGACAAATCACGGCTTGAACTATCTTGCTTTGCATGTAATGAGTCTATCTCATATATTAGTTTCACCTTTTAAGTTGCATTACTGAAATAAATGAACTTTTGCACAATATTCAAATTTTTTGAATTTCACCTGTATACCTGTGCTCTTTCCTCTCTCTTTTCTCTCTCTCTCCTCTCTCCCCCCTCTTGCTCTCTCCTCTCTCTCTTCCCCCTCTCTCTTCTCTCTCTCTCCTGTCTCTTCCCTCTCTCTCCCCCTTTCTCTTCCTCTTTCCTCTCTCTTCCCTCCCTCTCCCCTCTCTCTCTCTCTTCCCTCTCCTCTCCCTCTCTCTTCCCTCTCAGAAACCTCTTAAAGGGCTGGGAGGCACCAGTGTTGAGGTTAAATATCCTTTCTCCTTTGTTTACATTCACCTGTCGTCCCTTCTCCTCCTTTTGGCTAAGATCAAGTATACATTTATCTGTCAGAAGGGAATCCCCAGCAGGCTAGGGATAAATCACTGGTTGTTAAGATGCCAGCATCTTAACAACTGATCAGGTGACCACTGTGACAGCCAATCACGGTGTTCATATGATCATAAACCCCGCTCCGCCTCCCGGCATTAGAAACCCCTTAAAGGGCTGGGAGACGCCAGCGTTGAGGTTAAATATTCCTTTCTGCTTTGTTTATACTTACCTGTCCTCCCTTCTCGGCCTTTGGCTAAGATCAGATATACATTTACCTGTCAGAAGGGAATCCCCGGCAGGGCAGGGATGAATCACTGGTTGTTAAGACGCCAGCATCTTAACAACCTACACAAAACATTGCCAAAAATGCACGAACATGCATTTTTGGTGCATTTCCATTGAGTCCTCCTTAAAATTCATACCATACTAGAAAGGCTTGGTAAGAATTGTGGTGAAACCCAATGCCTTTTCTTTTTTTTTTTTTTTTTTTGCGCAGAGAGTATGCAATTATGCTGCCTCTTGGTGGCTGGGCCTTGATGCCGAGAGGCTGCATATTTGCATACAAAAATGTAATCAAATTGTGCCGCGAGCTTGCGCTATGCGCACTCCTGGCACAGTTACTGGCGCCTAATGAAGAGATTTCTCAATCCCTACTTGCGATCGGGCGCGCTATCCGATCATGTCACCGCTGTGATAGCCAATCACGGCGGTCACATGATCATAAACCCCCGCCTTCCGGCATCAGAAACCTCTTAAAGGGCTGGGAGGCACCAGCGTTGAGGTTAAATATCCTTTCTCCTTTGTTTACATTCACCTGTTGTCCCTTCTCGTCCTTTTGGCTAAGATCAAGTATACATTTATCTGTCAGAAGGGAATCCCCAGCAGGCTAGGGATAAATCACTGGTTTTAAGATAACATCTTAACTGATCAGGTGACCACTGTGACAGCCAATCACAGTGTTCATATGATCATAAACCCCGCTCCGCCTCCCAGCATTAGAAACCCCTTAAAGGGCTGGGAGACGCCAGCGTTGAGGTTAAATATTCCTTTCTGCTTTGTTTATACTTACCTGTCCTCCCTTCTCGGCCTTTGGCTAAGATCAGATATACATTTACCTGTCAGAAGGGAATCCCCGTCAGGGAAGGAATGAATCACTGGTTGTTAAGACGTCAGCATCTTAACAACCTACTTAAAACGTTGCCAAGAATGCACGAACATGCATTTTTGGTGCATTTCCATTGAAGTCTTTCATGCTGCAACAACACCAAAGTAGCACCTGTACCCTGTACCAAAAACGTGTTTCCATTGTCATGCACTGCTTCAGGTCTTCAAACAATGCCAGGTCTCTTTTCAGGGTTCTGGGTGGCTCCAGTCCCTCTTGCTGGAGGCTGTAACATCATTCACATTCTTCTTACATGTGGAGAGGCATAGGACTGCTCTCAATATTCAATATCAATTGATATCTCCGAGTTCCAGAGTTGGCCAGAGCCAGTGATGAGAACGTCTCCATAATTCGGAGTAGAAAATATATGCTGTAGGTGAGAAAGAGAGAAAAGACGTTTGTTAGGGTTTCATAAAGGTAACGTTCTTCATCAACAAAATATTTATTTCATTAGATAATAAAAATGATCACTTTTCACTAAAAAGTAAAAGTGGAAGAAAAGGCTGACTGATGTAAAATACTTACTTCTGAATAATAGTAGAACTCTTCCAGGCAGAGGGGGAAGGACTCGTTTTCCCGCATCCATCTTGTTATACAGTCTATGTGATACGGGTGGGAGCAGGGTAGGGTGGTTTGATCATGTTCCGCTTGCAGATCTTCTAGGCCAGGGGTGTCCAAACTATGGCCCTCCAGGTGTTGAAGAACTGCAAGTCCCATGAGGCCTTGTAAGACTCTGACATCCACAGGCAAGACACCCAGGGGTAGAGGCATGATGGGACTTGTAGTACTTCTACAGCTGAAGGGCCACAGTTTGGACACCCCTGCTCTAGGCAAATACTGCATGACGGAAGCTCCTCCCCTGGCCTCCTCTGGGTGGTGTCCTGGGATGACACTTCTCCAGACTCTCTGACCCACAATAAATTTCTCTCTGTTCTAGTATCCTCAAGGGGAGATTCTTGGCCTGAAATAACAAAGAAATATTGATGTTAACAGTTGCTTCCTTCCTGACCAATGGTACAGAAAAATAAAAAAATGTATTTCTTTCAATTTCTATTTTTTTTCCTATAAGTAAAAAAAAAAATCACAGCGGTGACCTTAGGACATTGTCCTCAGCACCACCTTCCTAGGAATTTTTCCAATTTACACCTGATTTCTCGTCACAAATATGATCATCAGTAATGTAGACACTCATTCTTATATCTATTTGGGAGGTATGTTAGGTGGATGCATTGACCACTATGTGTATGGTCATCATTGGAAGTAGGAGAATCTGTTGATGGAACGCCAATGTGAAACATTTATTGATTTGCTCTGCATTGAGCAGGCAAACCTTAGAACTCTTAAGAGTGGTTTCCTCAATGCGTAATGAATATGTCAAAAACAAAGAGGAAAGTACAAGGAAAAACTTAGAACTTCTCTTAAGTTTAAATGCTTCTTTGGGAACCAATGGGGAAGTTTCAAAACCAAAGAAGACAGTACGAGGGAAAACTTAGAGCCTCTCTTCAAGCGGAGTTCCACCCAAAAGGGGAAGTTCCACTTTAAAGATTGGTCCCCCGCTCCCCATTAAGGATTGGCACCTTTGGGGAGCGGGTACTTAAAATTCATAGGTACCTGCTCCCACTTCCGCTGTGATCACCTAGGCCAGTGGTCGGCAAGCCGCGGCTCGCGAGCCACATGCGGCTCTTTACACGCTTTAATGCGGCTCTTGTGTGCCGGGCGCCCGCTCCCCTCCCTCCTCTCGGGCGGCAGGGACTCTGCAGCGTGATCCAAAAAAAAAAAACAGCCAGGGCAGCGCGCTCAAATGCAATGATTGGCCAGTCTCGCTGCCACTCACATCCTGATAGCCAGTGATTGGCTGTCAGGATGTGTGTAGGCGGGGCAGCGTGACGAACGTGAGAGGAGCTAGGCTCCTCTCACACTCCGCCCTGAAGACCGGAACGGCGCGGGAACACGGCGAGAGGAACGCGCGGAGCAAAGGTAAGTGAATTGACACAGGGGGAACTTGGCTTACTACTTGCTACTTACTTACTACTACTATATGAGGGATGAATTAATATGGGGGATGAATTACTATAGGGGGGATGAATTACTATAGGGGGGATGAATTACTATGGGGGATGAATTACTATATGGGGATGAATTACTATGGGGGATGAATTACTATATGGGGGATGAATTACTATATGGGGGATGAATTACTATATGGGGGATGAATTACTATGGGGGATGAATTACTATATGGGGGATGAATTACTATATGGGGGATGAATTACTATGGGGGATGAATTACTATATGGGGGATGAATTACTATATGGGGGATGAATTACTATAAAAACTTATTGAAACTAAAAACAGTGTACCATCCTATGTATTTTCAGTTTTAAAAATGTGGCTCTCAAAATAAATTTCAATCGTGGTTTTGGCGAGATTTGGCTCAGTTGAAAAAAAAAGGTTGCCCACCACTGACCTAGGCGATCGAAAGTGGAAGTTGTCCTTCTACCCTCCCCCCCCCCGTAGTCTTGTGGGACACGTGACAGGTCCCAGAAGATGACGGGGCCATTCACGAAGCGCAGCTCTACTCGTGCATGCGCAATGGGGCACCCAGCTGTGAAGCTGCAAGCTGTCACAGCCGGGTGCCCACACCGAAGATGCAGGAACCTGGAATACAGGACGGCCGATAAAACGGGCTGCGGCGGGGGCAACGCGGGATCGTGGGACAGCTGAGTGGCTGTTTTTTAAAAGTCTGCAGCTACAGTTTTTGTAGCTGCTGACTGTTATTTTTTTACAGAGTGAGTGGAACTCCGTTTTAATTAAAAAAAAATAAAAGTCAGCAGCTACAAAAAAGGACAATTACCTGCCGCTCACATCCCGCGGTGTCCTCCCTGCAGCCCGTTTCACCAGCCACCCTGTATTCCCGGTGTTGGCATCTTCAGTGTGGGCACCCGGCTGTGACAGCTTGCGGCTTCACAGCCGGGTGCTCACTGCACATGAGCGAGTAGCACTGTGCTTTTGTGAACGGTCCTGTAGTCTTCTGGGACCTGTCATGTGTCCCAGAAGGCTACAGGGAGGGAGGGGAGGAGAACAACGTCCGCTTCCGATCACCTAGGCAAATGCAGCAGAAGTGGGAGCTGGTACTTGTCAATTTCGGGTACCCGCTCCCCAAAGGTGCCAATCCTTATCAGGGAGCGGGGGAGCAGTCCTTAAAGCGGAACTTCTCCTTTTGGGTGGAGCTCCGCTTTAACTGCTTTCAGAGGAACCGATGGGGAGATTTCATAAACAAAGAAGAGAGTACTAGGGAAACCTTAGAAGTTCTCTTAAGTTTAACTGCTTCCTGGGGAACCAATGGAGAAATTTCTGCTCTCCCTTCTTGGTGAGACCAGGAGCTTCACTTTTACCTCCATTGAGATATCAAAGATGGATAGTCTGGTATTTGGCAGCTAAGCAAACAATCCGAATAAAGCATGACTCTGAGCAATCACGAAGCTGGTGTTCATTATGTAACTTCCTTTATACCGCAGAAGGCGTGATTATATCATCTAACAAGAACATATTTAATTACTTTACCTTGTAATCCGATTATAACTGGCTGTCCATCATTGGTGGCAATAGTAAACGGTGTCTGTGTGGCCCAGAAAAAGTTGTTGGCATGGATGGTGAGGTCTCCATAATTCTCCGTGTGCCATGTTATCTGTAGGTGAAAGGAAATAAATGACATTTGTTAAAGGTGTCCTGAAGGAAATCGACAAAATAAGTGCTAAATAATTTCTCCAACTAATAAAAAGAATCACCTTGATTGGGCAATAGTAAAAGTGGTAGAAAAGATTGATCAAAGATTGATGACACTTACCCTAATGTGTTGAGTTGCTCTTTGCTGGCAGATTGGACAGGTGTCACTAGACTGCACCTATCTTTGGATGCAATTGGTGTGAAACCAGTGGGAGCAGGTTAGTTCCATATTACCATTTCCCTCTACCATTTCCTGCATGCAGAGTTGGCATACAGGGCGCACATCATTTTGATGGTCACCATGATGGTGTCCGTGGAAGTCCTCGTGTTGTGGACTTCTTTCCCTCTGGTTGGCGTCATGGTTCAGCTGTCCTTCAGGTCTCTGGATCGGTTGAAGTTCGCGTTCTCTGTCCCTCAGTCGAGCTCTTGTCCGAGAAGCAATGGGAGCGTTTTCATCTGCAAGAAGAATAAAACAGTGATGTTTAGAAATGTAAGTTTGATTTTACGTTTTAAAGCCTATACACGCACATTTGAAGGTAGATGCGTGCTTCAATGAACCTACGTATAAAAAACAGTGATTGCGCTACACATATTAGGTACCACTGTGCATGCTGGTGTACAAGCAATAATCCTAGGGCCATTATTTATTATTATATACAGTATTTATAAAGCGCCAATAGTTCGCTCAGCGCTGTACATTACAAAGGGGGACATAACATGTGACAGAACAATACCAATACAATGCAAAACATGAGGGGATCGAGGGCCCTGCTCTTTCGAGCTTACAATCTAGGAGGCAGGGGATGGTGGCACAGGAGGAGATAGCTGTGGGGGATGGAGTGGTAGGAAGAGTGGAGGAGGTCAGCAGGTTAGCAGGGGGTGGGGTAGGCTTCCCTGAAGAGATGGGTTTTCAGGGTGCGCCTAAAGGAGAGGAGAGTAGGTGATAATCTGATGGGTTGGGGCAGGGAGTTCCAGAGGATGGGTGACACCCTGGAGAAGTCCTGGAGGCGGGCATGGGAGGAGGAGACCAGGGAACTAGAGAGAAGGAGGTCTTGTGAGGAGCGGAGTGTGCGTGTTGGGTGGTACTTGGATATTAGGTCAGTGATGTAGTTCGGGGCAGTATGGTGGACGGCTTTGTACGTCAGCGTTAGGATTTTGAATTTGATCCGTTGCGCAATCGGAAGCCAGTGGAGGGATTGGCAGAGGGGGGTGGCGGAGACGGAGCGGTTAGAAAGGTGAATGAGTCTGGCAGCAGTATTCAGGATCGACTGAAGCGGGGATAGCCAGCGGCGAGGCAGGCCAGTGAGGAGGGAGTTGCAGTAATCGAGTCGTGATATGATGAGGGAGTGGATGAGTTGTTTAGTGGTTTCTGGGGTTAGGAACGTGCGGATTTTGGCGATGTTGCGGAGGTGGAGTCTGCACGAGTTTGTTAAAGATTGGACTTGGGGCTGGAAGGATAGGTTGGAGTCCAGAATGACACCAAGTACTCGGGCCTGCAGGGTGGGTTTGATGGTGGCGTTATTCACTATTACTTCTAAACCAATGATCTGTAAATACTTTTACGCCTGGTTCACACTATCACGGGTCTGCAGGCCGCATCTGCTGGAAAAAGGTTCCTGCACCAATCTCAAAACGCAGTGACCGGGTGCAAAGGCACCATATGATTTCCCTGCGGTTCCTGCACCTGCAAATGCTGCGTTTTTAGATGCGTGGGGGTGCCAATAAGAATGAATGGCAGCCTTGCACTTTTTTAAACAGCAGTTTTGACAGCGGATGGTTGCGGCTGTGGGAATCGCTACGATTCCCGCACCCGCAACCACCCGCAATATTGTGAACCAGGCCTTAAAGTGTCACCTATGGACAGTTTTATGTACCATATTTAGCCAGCATCTCATAGGCCCGTACAATTCTTAGGCTCCACATTCTGTATCTATTCATTCATGCGACCTCATCTTTTATATTTTTTTAAAATGGGGGAGATTTACTAAAACTGGAGAACTCAGAATCTGGAGCAGCTGTGCCTGGGAGCCAATCAGCTTCTAACTTCAACTTGTTCAGTTAATGCGGAGTTCCACTCACACTGTAAAAAAAATAAAAGTCAACAGCTACAAAAACTGTAGCTGCTGACTTATAAAAAACAGCCACTCGCCTGCCCCACGATCCTGCGGTGTCCTCCCCGCATCCTGTTTCACTGGCCATCCTGTGTTACAGGTGCTGGCATCTTCAGTGTGGGCACCCGGCTGTGATAGCTTGCAGCTTCACAGCCGGGTGCCCACTGCGCATGTGCGAGAAGCGCTGCACTTCCTGAATGGCCACGTAGTCTTCTGGGACCTGTCACGTGTCCCACAATACTACGGGGAGGGAGGGGGGATGACTAGGCGATTGCAGTGGGAGCGAGTACCTGTCAAATTCGGTTATCCCCTCCCCCCCGCTCCCCAAAGGTGCCAATCCTTAATGGGGAGCGGGAGACAAAGGCTTAAAGCAAAACTCCCCCTTTTGGGTGGAGCGCCGCTTTAAGACGCCACTGATCATGTGACTGCTGTGACAGGTATTCACGGTGGTCATATGATCATAAACCCCGCCCTGCCTCCCGAAATCAGAAACCCTTAAAGGGACAGAAGGCCCAGTGTTGAAGTTAAATACCCCTTCTCCTTTGTTTACATTCACCTGTCATCCGTTCTCGGCCTTTTGGCTAAGATCAAGTGTACATTTACCTGTCAGGAGGGAATTCCCGGAAGGGCAGGGATGAATCACTGGTTGTTAAAACGCCAGGATCGTAACAACCGATCATGTGACCGCTGTGACAGGCAATCACGGTGGTCATATGATCATAAACCTCGCTCCACCTCCCGGTATCAGAAACCCCTTAAAGGGCAGGGAGGCTCCAGCGTTGAGGTTAAACATCCCTTCTCCTTTGTTTACATTCACCTGTCATCCCTTCTCGGCCTTCTGGTTGCTATGCAGACCTGCACCAGATTTCGCACTCTCCAGTTCTTGTAAACAACCCCCATAGTTTGATGCGCACTTCATGTGATCGGTAATTGTCCTCCAATGACATTAGAAATGGCTGTTACTGTCAGCCGGGTCATGTGAGGTTTGAAAAATGTAGTTGTAAATCTAAAAATAGGAAGCCCTGTCCTTGTGTACACAGCTCCGGGAATTCAGCCCAAAAACGGCCATTTTTTTTTTTTAAATATACAACCCCCCCTTCCCCCCCACTACGTATTAGATCTGATTGGAAGCTCCTTACAGACCCTCCCTTTGATGGGAATAACTATTTTCTTTATGGGAAGTTAATGAAACATTAAAATCTCTATTGAAAACTATATAAAATCCTGTGTTGGTGAGTGACGATAATATAAAAATGGGGGAAATCTCTCTCTAATGGGCTCCTGGCTTACCTGTTGGATGTCGGTCTCCCTCCCTAGCTAATGGCCACTGACGGTTGTGACGTCGGAAATGGCGTCTGTTGTCTCGTGGCATTCTTGTGATATTATTCGCTGCCTAAATAAAGGAGTTGTTTCACCAGAAACAAAAAAAAAAAACAAAAAAAAAAAACAAAAACGCAAGAAAACTCGCCTTCCAAGTTGACTTTTTAATATCACTCCACTGGTAATCAGTGCAGCTTTAATTAATCTGTCAATCTAATGTGATTGGATGCCTGGATAAACGATAGGAATCCCGAAATCGCAGGAGAAACTCAGAAGAGATCCTTCTCACACCACTCCTCTCTCACAACTGAAGAGCAGTGCAGCTGCACTCCTTATACCGGTACCTGTCCACTGTGTCATGAAATTTTAACTCCAGAGCATTTTACCCTCTTCATGACCATGGCAATTTTTGCTATTTTAATGAAACTCATATATATATATATATATATATATATATATATATATTTTTTTTTATTTTGGTAAGAGACAACAATAATATTAACATAATGGCAATGCAAGCCTTTAGAAGGCAAAACACATATTTCATA